AATTAAATGCGGTCTGTTTAACATAAGATCGCTTTCCTCTAAAAGTCTACTAGTTAATGACTTGATTTGTGATAATCACATTGACTTGTTTTGCCTTACAGAAACCTGGCTGCAGCAAGAGGATTATGTGAGCATAAATGAGGCAACTCCTTCAAGCTATTTAAATTTTCACATCCCCAGAAGTTCTGGGCGAGGAGGAGGAGTAGCAACAATCTTCCAGTCTGACTTACTGATTACTCCCAAAACAGTTAATACCTACAACTCTTTTGAACATTTAACCCTTAATTTCCCTGATCCAAATTTCAAGGCAAGAAAACCTCTTCTTTTTGTAACTTTGTATCGTCCACCAGGTCCTTACTCTGAATTTTTAGATGAGTTTTCAGAGTTCCTTTCTGATTTGGTATTAAATACTGACAGGGTCATCATAGTGGGAGATTTTAACATCCATGCTGACATTGAAGGCGATAGCTTAAGAGCAGCCTTTAATGCTATCTTAGACACTATTGGCTTTGTTCAAAATGTGAATAGTCCCACGCATTCTCATCTTCATACTTTGGATCTTGTGCTGACATACGGCATAGAATGTGAAGAAATAACAGTATTTCCTCACAACCCTGTCCTCTCTGACCACTTTCTAATAACCTTCAGGATTACTTTAACAGAGTTCTCCTCCCCCAAAAGAAGGTTCAATTTTAGTAGATCTTTATCAGATAGTGCAGTTATAAATTTTAAAGAATCTGCTTCACTTTCTCTCTCCTCTGTGTCACTGAGCAGTGCTGCAGAGTGCAAAAGTTTAGCTTATTCCCCTTCACAGGTTGATGATTTTGTTTATGGGGTTTGTAGTTCTCGCGTATTGCCTTAGGGAAAAGCAAACTCCTTTTTGGGAAAAAGAAAACCCTTTTTTAAAAAAAAAAAGCTTGTCCTGGTTTTAAAGCGAGTGCGTACTTTGAAAGCAAAAAGCTAGGAAACGGAGAGAAAAATTTTGCCTTTCCCCAGGCCCGCGAGAGTCCTTCCTGTCTGGGGAAAAAAGGTTTATGCTGTTAAGGAGGACCCTTTGTAAAGCAAGGCGCATACTTTTCCCCATTTTAATTAAGGGGGAGAAAAATTTAAAGAAAATTAAAAAAAACCCCCCTAGAAAAAAAATTTCAATTTTTTTAATAAACCCCCCCCCCTTTTCCCCCCCCAAACCCCCCAAACCCCCCCCATAGCTTGTTGAAAACCCTCCATTCCCCCTGCTTTAGCAGCAATGGCTTTATGGGGTTCTTTAAAAAAAAAGGGTTGATTTATTAAAAATAAGATCATAAGCAAATCCCCTTCCTTTTCCGCGAATTTTTTACCCGGAAAGGGAGTCCGGAATCTGAATGGGTTTGCTGCCTTTGAATCCCGTTTGGAAAATCTTTGTTTACAAAAGTAAGGGAAAATTATTGTTTTCATCTAAAAACCCTTTAACTTGGTATGTTTTGATCCCGTTCCCAACCAGGTTATTTAAGGAGGTATTCCTTTGATCCCCCTCCCCCATTTTTAAAGTGTTTAAATTTTTATCTCTGTTACAGGGAATTTTTGTACCCAAAGAAGTTGCCTTTTTAATTAAAAACCTTTGTTGTTAAAAAACCGGGCTCTTTACCCCGGGTACTTTGGGGGCAAATTATAGACCTATTTCCAATTTTTCCTTTTTTATCCAAAATTCTTTGGAAAGTAGTTTTCCCCAAAAAGTTTTGGCATCTTTTCCTTTTTACCCCTAATGAAATTTTTTGAAAAAAGGGCTTCCCCCCCCTCTGGCTTTAGAGCTCTTCCCTAAAACCCCCTGAAAAAAACTCCCCCCCCCTGAAAGGTTCCCTAAATTGATTTTTTCTATTGGGGCCCCAGGGGAATAATGGAATTTTTAAACTGGGGCTTTTGGTCCTGTTTTGGGGAAACTTTAGTGAGCTCATTTGATTTCAGTTTTACCCTTTAAAATTTTTTTAGAAAGACTTTAATATTTTTTTTGGAAAATTTTTGGAAAAAGCATAGACTGGTTTAAATCTTAATCTATTGATCGAATTTTAGTTTGTTCATGTTAATGGGTAGATCTTCAACACCGCTTTAAAAAGGGTTTCCTGGGGGAAATACCACAGGGGATCGTGCTTGGACCCAAAGTCCTTTACTTTATACATGCTCCCAAATTGGTTTGAAAAATTTTTAGACGCATGGGATTAATTTCCACTGTTTTTGCTTTTATGATACCCCGCTTATTCTGTTATAAAACCAGATGGAAACTAAAAACCCAAATTTCATAGATTACCCGGCATGTCTTTAAGCCATTTAAAAACCCCGGATTTACTTTAACTTTCTGCTTCCCGGGAAAGCAGACAAAACCAAAAAAAGATTTTAGTCTTTGGGCCGAGTTCTGAAAAAGAAATGTTTAAGCCAGTCACCTTTTTAAAATTTTGGAAAGGGGTTAAAACTGATTTCAAAATAATTTAAAATAAAAAAAATTTTGGGTTGTTTTTTGATTCAAAGGGCCTGGGATTTAGGTCCCCTATCAAGGAGGTTTTTAGAAATTTTCCTTTCTTTCCCTCTGAGGGGAAAATTGCAAAAAAATTTTAGAAATATCCCGTTCCCGGGGTGATGCTGAGAAAAGTAGGGTTTCCCGGCCCTTTGTTTTCTTCAAAGGCTTGGGGCTATTGTAATTTTTTAATATAGGAAGTCCCACAAACTGTAGTTAAAAGCCCCTTCAGCTGATCCCAAAAAAGCTGCAAACCTTGAGTTCTAATGAAAAATTAAAAAAAAGAGATCAAAATCTTGGGCCCTTTTTTTGGGTTTTCTTCTTTTGGGTTTATTTTTTAAATCCAAAAATAAGAATTTTAAAAAACCTCCTTCTACAATTTTTAAAGCCCTTAATTAATGGAAAGGGGCTCCTGTTTCTTTTTCCCGAGATACGGTTTTTTTTAAATTTTTTTTACCTAAAAGCGACCCCGGGTCTCAAAACTGCAGGGTTTACAGTGGTTCCTAGAAATTTTTTAAAAAAATTTGAATGGGAGGGGAGAAACTTTTTGTTATCAGGCTTCCTTTTCCTTTTGGGAAACTCCCAACTACCCAGTTTTAGCCGTTTAAAGGGAGAAAACCCCCTTTTACTTTTAAGGGCTAAAGGGTTAAAAAATTTCATTTTTTGATTTAAAACTTATGAATTTGAGTGGGCCCCCAGGTTATCCTGAGGGTAAACTCTTTTAGTTATGCTGCTATAAAGGCCCCTTTGACTTTTTGGGGGGCGTTAAAGGGGGGCCCCCCCAAATTTTATTATTCTTTCTTTTTAAATTCCTTTTCCTCGTTTCCCCTTTTTGGCAGAAATCTGTTGTTTCCCAAACTTTAAAACCCCTTTGCCCCTCTGGCCCTTTTCCTCAGGTAGCTTTGCCTCGTTGTTTTGTTTGGCCCGGGGACGTCATCTGGAAAAAAAAAAATTTGGGTGTGCTGCCCCTTTTTAAAACCCTTTTTTATAGAAGTTGGAGATTTGGCCCCCGTTTTTTCCCGGGGTCCTTGTTTTCTTTTGACCGTGAATTTAAATGGTGTGCTTTCTTCGTCCCCTGGAAAGGGGCCCGCCCTTTGGGGCTCGTCTGCCCTGGTGTGTGTTTCCCGGAAAGGGGGGCCCCCTTTTACAGTTTCTTTTTGTTTTTTCTCTGGGTTCTGTCTCCTTGAACCCCAGTCGGCCTTCCGGGAGAATTTGGCCCCCTCACACTGAGCCCGGTTTGCTGGGGGGGTTTTTTTTCCCGTTAAAAGGGGGGGTTTTTTTTCCCCTCCTTTCGCTTCAAGGCCCTGGCTTTGTGTGGGGGATTGTTTTTTGAGGGCAAAAGAGTCAATGCCCAAAAAAACCTTTGGGTTTTTTTTTAGATAGAAAACTTTGTTCAATTTGAAACTGGTTGAACTGTAAAGTTTCCCCTTTTAGATGAATGTGTTGTGAAAATTTTTTTGGGGGGCTTTTTAAATAAACTTTAAATTTAAATTTTAATTGAAATTGGGGTTTTAGGGGCCGGGGGGGTTTTGATTTAAGGGTTTTTGGTTCCCGATGTGGGCGGGTGGTTTTTGATGGGCGGTGAAAGGGTTTTTTTGAGGGGGGGCGGTTTGGGGGATAGAAGGTGGGGGCGGGGGAAGGGGGCCGGGTGGGGTTGGGGGAAAAGAAAGGGGGGTGGTCTGGGTGAGGGCCGGGGGGGTTTGATGAGGGCCGGTGGCTGATAAGGTGGGTGGTCTATTAAAAAAGGGGGTGGTTGATGAGGGCGGTGGTTTTAATTTAAAGGTGGTGGTCTGATGGGGCGGGGGTCTGATGGGGGGCGGTGGTTTTTTTGATGAAGGTTTTTTGGTCTGATGAGGGCGGTTTTTTTTAATGAAGGTGGTGGTCTGATGAAGGTGGTGGTCTGATGGGGGCCGGTGGGTCTTTATGAGGGCGAGGGGGGTTCCCCCGAAAGAAGGGGGGTGGTTCTTTTTTGGGGCCGGGGGTCCTTAAAGAAAGGTGGTGGTTTTTGTTGGGTGGTTTGGGCTGTTTAGGGCGGTGGTTGAAAGTGGGCGGTGGTTTTTGATGGGGGTGGTGGGTCTGGATGAGGGCGGTTTTGGGCTGAGAAAGGTGGTGGTTGATGAAGGGGGTGGTTTTGAGGGAAAGGGTTTTGGTTTGGGCCCGATGAAGGTTTTGGTTGGGCTGATGAAAGGGGGGGTTTTTGGTTTGATGAAGTCGGTGGTTGATGGGGGAGGTGGGCTGATGAGGGGAGGTGGTTGATGGGGCGGTTGGGGTTTATGAGGGGGTGGTCTGTGAAGGGGGGTGGTCTGATGAAGGTGGGGGGGTCTGGGTGAAAGGGGGGTTTGGTTTTTGTGAAGGTGGTGGTCTGATGAGGGCCGGTGGTCTGATGAAAGGTGGTGGTTTTGATGAAGGGGCGGGGGGTCTGATGAAGGTTTGGGGGTCTGATGAAGGTGGGGTCTGATGAGGTTGGGGGGGTTGAGAAGGCGGGGGGGGGCTGAATTTAAAGGGGGTGGTCCGTTTAGGGGGGTGGTCTGATGAGGGCGGTGGTCTGATGAAGGTGGTGGGCTGATGAGGGTGGTGGGGCTGATGACGGTGGTGGTTGATGAGGCCGGGGGTTGATGAAGGGGTTTGGGGGGATGAAGGTGGTGGTTCCCCCGTTGGGAAAGGTGGTGGTCCCCCGATGAAGGTTTGGGGGTCTGTGAAAAGGTGGTGGTTTTGATGAAAGGGGGTGGTTCTGATGGGAAAGGGGGGCGGGGGGGTCTGATGAAGGGGGTTTTTTGATTTGAGGGCGGTGGGTTCCCGATAGGGGCGGTGGTTGTTTAAAAGGGGGTGGGGCTGATGAGGGAGGTGGTCTGATGAGGGCGGCGGTCTGATGAAGGTGGTGGTCTGATGACGGTGGTGGTCTGATGAGGGAGGTGGTCTGATGAGGGCGGTGGTCTGATGAAGGTGGTGGTCTGATGAGGGAGGTGGTCTGATGAGGGCGGCGGTCTGATGAAGGTGGTGGTCTGATGACGGTGGTGGTCTGATGAGGGAGGTGGTCTGATGAAGGCGGCGGTCTGATGAGGGAGGTGGTCTGATGAGGGCGGCGGTCTGATGAAGGCGGTGGTCCGATGAAGGCGGTGGTCTGATGAAGGCGGTGTTCGGATGAAGGCGGTGGTCTGATGAGGGTGGTGGTCTGATGAGGGAGGTGGTCTGATGAGGGCGGCGGTCTGATGAAGGCGGTGGTCTGATGAGGGTGGTGGTCTGATGAGGGAGGTGGTCTGATGAAGGTGGTGGTCTGATGAGGGAGGTGGTCTGATGAGGGCGGCGGTCTGATGAAGGCGGTGGTCTGATGAGGGTGGTGGTCTGATGAGGGAGGTGGTCTGATGAAGGCGGTGGTCTGATGAGGGAGGTGGTCTGATGAGGGCGGCGGTCTGATGAAGGCGGTGGTCCGATGAAGGTGGTGGTCTGATGAGGGAGGTGGTCTGATGAAGGCGGTGGTCGGATGAAGGCGGTGGTCTGATGAGGGTGGTGGTCTGATGAGGGAGGTGGTCTGATGAGGGCGGTGGTCTGATGAAGGTGGTGGTCTGATGAAGGCGGTGGTCTGATGAAGGTGGTGGTCTGATGAAGGTGGTGGTCTGATGAGGGTGGTGGTCTGATGAGGGTGGTGGTCTGATGAGGGTGGTGGTCTGATGAGGGTGGTGGTCTGATGAAGGTGGTGGTCTGATGAGGGAGGTGGTCTGATGAAGGTGGTGGTCTGATGAGGGTGGTGGTCTGATGAGGGTGGTGGTCTGATGAGGGTGGTGGTCTGATGAAGGTGGTGGTCTGATGAGGGAGGTGGTCTGATGAGGGTGGTGGTCTGATGAGGGAGGTGGTCTGATGAAGGTGGTGGTCTGATGAGGGCGGTGGTCTGATGAGGGAGGTGGTCTGATGAAGGTGGTGGTCTGATGAGGGAGGTGGTCTGATGAGGGTGGTGGTCTGATGAGGGAGGTGGTCTGATGAAGGTGGTGGTCTGATGAGGGTGGTGGTCTGATGAGGGAGGTGGTCTGATGAAGGCGGTGGTCTGATGAGGGAGGTGGTCTGATGAGGGCGGCGGTCTTGAAGGCGGTGGTCCGATGAAGGCGGTGGTCTGATGAAGGCGGTGGTCTGATGAAGGCGGTGGTCTGATGAGGGTGGTGGTCTGAGGGAGGTGGTCTGATGAAGGTGGTGGTCTGATGAGGGCGGTGGTTTGATCAAGGTGGTGGTCTGATGAGGGCGGTGGTTTGATGAAGGTGGTGGTCTGATGAGGGTGGTGGTCTGATGAGTAAAATCTAGAATGGAAAAGGTTCATTATCTTTTACTTCTTATTTAACCGTTCTGATTCTGTGCGGTGGCTGTAGGGCTGTTTCAGGGTGAGAGGGGAGAAAACTCAACAGACACACATCTTCCTCTTGGATCCCCTCCTCTTCATCGAGTCGCTGCCTGGATCAAACCTGGCTGTAAATTGGTCCTTCCATTTAGTAGCATATCACATTACATAAGGTGAAATGCTTAAATTGTTAATTGACAGCCTTTCAGTATGTAAATTTCTAACAGCAGAAAACTTTTCCTTAAAAAGGGAAGAAGCAATTAGAGAAGGATGAAGAGCTTGGTGGGCCGAGTCGGGCCGGGCCTCTAAAAACACGCAGACCCCGTCATCAGAGAGCCAGCTGTTAGACCGCCTCCAGTTGATCTGAAGTCTTTAAAGAGTTGTCGCAGCCGCGCTCCGTCTTGTGTGTATCTGAGCGGAATGAGGATTGAAAAGTGATGGAGAGTGACAGCCGACAGATTGCCTGCGCTCACAGCTCACCCTCAGGTGAGACTGGAGAAGACAGATCACCTCCACTGATGTTTATGGTGGAGGAGGCGGAGAGCACAGCTGTGTGGGTGTGGGTGTGTGTGTCATGTGAAGCCCTGCAGCTCAGGATCTGCTGTCACTTAGCAGCTGAAACTTCTCAGCGACAGACTGACAGATTTTCACAAACTAATTCAACTCGGAGGAAGATGACACAAGATGCCCAGGATTTTTTTACGTCCTGAAGTGAAAACATATCTATAGCCTGGGTGTTATGATGATGATAATGGTGATAAGAAGAAACAAGTCTTTGAGACCATGAATGTGTGTGAGATATAAGAATTCAATTCAATTCAGTTTATTTATATAGCGCCAAATTCACAACACATGTCATCTCAAGGCACTTTACAGTTCAACCAGATCATACAGTCAAATTGATACAAAGTTTTCTATCTAAGGAAAACCAGTTGATTGCATCGACTCATTGACTCAAATACAATCCCTCACACTAAGCATGCTTGTAGCGACAGTGGAGAGGAAAAATTCCCTTTTAACAGGAAGAAACCTCCAGCAGAACCAGGCTCAGTGTGAGCGGCCATCTGCTGAGGCCGACTGGGGTTCAAGGAGACAGAAGCAGAGATACAAAAAGCAGCTGTAAAAGGCGGCCCCGTCCAGGAAACACGCAGCCAGGCAGACGAGCTCCAAGGCAGCTCCCATGCCAGAGGACGAAGAGAGCACATCCACTCAGTCACGGTCAGAGAAACAGGACCACACTGGAAAACAGGCCGATCTCCAACATCTATAAACAAGGGTGTTGATAGAAGCAGCACAGCTGATGTTTCTTTCCAGGATGACGTCACAGCCAAACAGGAACAGACAAGGCAAAGCTACTCTGAGGAAAAGCAGAGAGAGCAGGAGGTTAGAGATTGAACTAACAGATTCTGCAGAATAGGAGAACAGAGAGAGAATGAAGCAGAATGATGAAATGGGGGTCCCTATGTCCTCCAAAAGTCTAAGCCTATAGCAGCATAACTATAGAGATAGCTCAGGATAACCTGAGCCACCCTAACTATAAGCTTTATCAAAAAGGAAAGTTTTAAGCCTAGCCTTAAAAGTAGACAGGGTGTCTGCCTCACGGACTAAAACTGGTAGTTGGTTCCACAGGAGAGGAGCCTGATAACTAAAAGATCTGCCTCCCATTCTACTTTTAGAAATTCTAGGAACCATTAGTAAACCTGCAGATTGAGAGCGAAGTGCTCTGTTAGGAACATAAGGAACAATCAGATCTCTGATATAAGATGGAGCTTGGCCATTTAAGGCTTTATATGTGAGAAGGAGGATTTTAAATTCTATTCTTGATTTAACAGGAAGCCAATGAAGAGAAGCCAGGATAGGAGAGATATGATCTCTCTTTTTCATTTTCATTAGAACTCTGGCTGCAGCATTTTGGATCAGCTGAAGGCTTTTAACTACAGTTTGTGGACTTCCTGATAGTAAAGAATTACAATAGTCCAGCCTTGAAGTAACAAATGCATGGACCAGTTTCTCAGCATCACCCCTGGACAGGATATTTCTAATTTTTGCAATGTTCCTCAGATGAAAGAAGGAAATTCTAGAAACCTCTTTGATGTGGGATTTAAATGACAGGTCCTGATCAAAAATAACACCAAGATTTTTTACTTTATTATCTGAAATCAGTTTAATCCCATCCAAATGAAGTGACTGGCTAATCAGTTTCTTTTTCAGAGACCCTGGTCCAAAGACTATAACTTCTGTTTTGTCTGCATTCAGGAGCAGAAAGTTAAGAGTCATCCAGGTTTTTATGTCTTCAAGACATGCCTGTAATCTATGTAATGGGTTAGCTTCATCTGGATTTATAGACAGATATAGCTGGGTATCATCGGCGTAACAGTGGAAATTAATCCCATGCTGTCTAATAATTCTACCAATTGGGAGCATGTATAAAGTAAAGAGAATTGGTCCTAGCACTGATCCCTGTGGTACTCCACAGGTAACCTTTGAGCGTGTTGAAGATCTATCATTAACATGAACAAACTGAATTCGATCAGATAGATAAGATTTAAACCAGTCTAGTGCTGTTCCTTTAATTCCAACAAAATATTCAAGTCTTTCTAAAAGAATATTATGGTCAACTGTATCAAATGCAGCACTAAGATCCAACAGGACGAGCACAGATACAAGTCCATTATCTGAGGCCATGAGAATATCATTAGTGACTTTCACCAGAGCTGTTTCAGTGCTATGATGAGCTCTAAAGCCAGACTGAAACTCTTCAGAAAGTTCATTATGGTGGAAGTGATCGCAAACTTGTTTGGCAACTACTTTCTCAAGAATTTTGGATAAGAAAGGAAGATTGGATATAGGTCTATAATTGACCAAGTCATCTGGGTCAAGAGACGGTTTCTTAAGCAGAGGTTTAATTACAGCAACCTTAAAAGCTTTAGGTACATATCCCTGTAACAGAGATAGATTAATCACATCTAAAATGGAGGAGGAGATCAAAGGGAATACCTCCTTAAATAACCTGGTTGGAACTGGATCTAACATACAAGTTGAAGGCTTAGATGAAGACAATAATTTTGCTAATTCAGAGAGTTCAACTGGATCAAAGCAGTCTAAACCCGGTTCAGATTCCATGACTACCTCAGGTACAATCGCGGATAGAGGAGTGCTTATGATCTTATTTTTAATAAGATCAATCTTATTTATAAAGAATCCCATAAAATCATTGCTGCTCAGAGCAGGTGGAATGGACGGTTCAACAGAGCTATGGCTCTGGGTGAGTTTGGCAACTGTATTAAAAAGAAATCTAGGATTATTCTTATTCTCCTCTATTAATGAGGAGAAGTATGCTGCTCTTGCTTTACAAAGGGTCCTCTTATACAGCAGTAAACCATTTTTCCAGACTAGGAAGGACTCTCGCAGGCCTGTGGAGCGATATTTTCTCTCCAGTTTTCTAGCATTTTGCTTCAAAGTACGCAGCTCTGCATTAAACCAAGCAGCAAGCTTTCTATTTTTAACGGTTTTCATTTTCAAAGGAGCTGCGTTGTCTAAGGCAATACGCAGAGAACTAGCAACCCCATCAACAAAATCATCAACCTGTGAAGGGGAATAAGCTATGCTTTTGCACTCTGCAGCACTGCTCAGTGACACAGAGGAGAGAGAAAGTGAAGCAGATTCTTTAAAATTTATAACTGCACTATCTGATAAAGATCTACTAAAATTGAACCTTCTTTTGGGGGAGGAGAACTCTGTTAAAGTAATCCTGAATGTTATTGGAAAGTGGTCAGAGAGGACAGGGTTGTGAGGAAATACTGTTATTTCTTCACATTCTATGCCGTATGTCAGCACAAGATCCAAAGTATGAAGATGAGAATGCGTGGGACTATTCACATTTTGAACAAAGCCAATAGTGTCTAAGATAGCATTAAAGGCTGCTCTTAAGCTATCGCCTTCAATGTCAGCATGGATGTTAAAATCTCCCACTATGATGACCCTGGCAGTATTTAATACCAAATCAGAAAGGAACTCTGAAAACTCATCTAAAAATTCAGAGTAAGGACCTGGTGGACGATACAAAGTTACAAAAAGAAGAGGTTTTCTTGCCTTGAAATTTGGATCAGGGAAATTAAGGGTTAAATGTTCAAAAGAGTTGTAGGTATTAATTGTTTTGGGAGTAATCAGTAAGTCAGACTGGAAGATTGTTGCTACTCCTCCTCCTCGCCCAGAACTTCTGGGGATGTGAAAATTTAAATAGCTTGAAGAAGAGAACTAGACAAGGTTAGATCATCTGGATGATCATATCATTCCAAAATAAGTTGAAAAATCAATCCACTGGACTTTGTTTCCAGGTTTAAGACGTTTCTCTTCCCATCCAGGAAGCTTTTTCAATTCAAAATGTCAGATTTAGCGTTGAGTTCCATGCTTTATACAGTTACCCAACAAAGCCTTGTTTTGGCTTAAAAACATTCAAATCAATCAGAAGAAATGGGGAGTTGTGTGGGTTCTTTGTTAGCCTGCAATACCAGATACTGGTCTATGTTTCTGAATGGGGTTCATTCGGGGGAATTGTTGGCCTGGATGCCCAGGTGAAATGTTTTTGTCCTATGTATGGGGGTTGAGTCTTTGTTGGGCCATGCATCTGTGGAGAGGTTGTTTGGTTTCTCCAATATAAAGATCAGAGCTTTCCTCACTGCATTGAACTGGAGACAACGCTCTAGGAGGTCCTTCAAGTTAGAAGGGAGTCTCTTTGTCAGTCAACCTGTCGTTTTCTAGATGTTACAGTATTGAAGCCCTGCTGTCATCATATGGAGGCAACAGTTTAAGCCAGAGATACCCAAAGTGGGCCCGCTGTCCTGCAGGTTTTAGAGGTTTCTCTGCTTTAGCACAGCTGATTCTGATGATTGCAGTTCAGCTAAAGCCTGTTAATCAGCTGTTGTGATTTTATGTTCTATTCAATTCCCAGCCCGCTGGAATTTCTGATACTTTAAGATGTT